ACACCCGCCGAGACAGTAGAAAGCAGAGAGGCGAAACAACAGCACCGAGACACTGGGAGACACTGGGAGACTGGAGGTGGAAGCAGGGGAGGGGAGGCAGCAGAGCAGTGATGATGGAAGATAGAAATCAGCCAGCAGAGATTATGAGAGGGATGCAGAGGAACAGAGGCAAGAAGCCTGAGCAGATACATTTATAATGTTTCACTTCAGACTTGTAATTATGCATTTTTTTCGTAATCAATTATTTATTATCGCCTATATAAAAGGAGGAAGTGAAAAAAGGAAGAGAAGGTACCATCAGCTTAGTCTCAAAAGTGACAGAGCAAAATATGACACAAAAAGGTCCACCCTACCCTTTTTCCTCCAACCTCATGTACCCCCATACTCAGGACCAGATGGTATACGTTAATGTGGTCAGAGAGAGAGTATATCAAAAAAGGAATACATAATGGATACATAAATAAAACATTAATTTTTAATAAACACATTAAAACTATGCATGCCTCTGTGCTCCATCCCCTACTGCTCATGTATCAGGTAAAGGCATGAAATAAAAAAGCTCAATGAGGAAAACAGACTTAAAACAATACATATATATTTCAACTAATTGATCTAGTAGCCTATTACATTCATAGGAATGTGTTACCTGTAATTTCCTATTATTGATGGCAATGAAATGCACGTTTAAAGCAATAATAAAAATAGCCCTGTGCTAAAGCCTCATTTCTTTACATTTTGTTTCCAGACCTTCTTAAGATGATCTTGTGAGTTATTTTCCCAGGTTTTCTTAAGGTTTATTTGGACATTGGCTACTTTTTCAGTCTAGTCCTTGTACCTGACCATTGTCTAAGGAATGCTTTTGTAACCCACTTACCACTGACGCAGCAATCGTTCGAACACAGAAAAGGCAGATATCTCAAGGGATGAACCAGTGTTCTTTCTACACGAACAGCTTCTTTGTTACTAGACGCCAGGTCAAAAAAAAATACATAATTTCTTTAGTCAAGTCTATGAAAAATGCCAAATACAACAGTTTGAGTTATAAAATAGTATTTTCACCAAAAAGCTTGGGTATATCTCAGCATGGTGTGCAGTGTGTCCTTAAAAAATTCAGAGGAAAGTGGTTAAGTGGAGGATAAAATTCTTGTCACTGATGGATTCTCCTTCTCAGAGCCCGGACCTCAACATTACTGAAGCAGCGTGGGATTGTCTTGACAGAGAACAGAACAAACAGCAGAAGAGCTTTGAATGTCCTCCAAGAAGCCTGGACAACTATTCCTGAAGACTACTTCAAGAAATTAGAAGACATCTGCCTCAGATAGTTTAGACCAGGG